CCCCCCCCCCCTGCCAGCACGCCACTGTAGGAAAGAGCTCAGGGAGTTAAGGGCAAAGCCAAAGATTTATCCACGGACATGAAGTATATTTTTGTACAGTTATATAGACCAATTGTTCCATGCATATGTATACAATCACTTGCAACACAGCCTCACGGGACGGCTTTCATGCAGCCCTAAACAATGCACATGGTATAGGGCTAGAGCAGCTAAAAAATTGTCAAGTAAACGTGTCTTTAATTAACGTTTAAGATCCCTATAAGATATTTAATTTGGGTGATGGTACATGGTGGTCATGATCATGTGACAAACTTAATATTATACCAAAAAATCCCCAGCTTTGTCAAATTCCCCACCGCAAAGAAAATTCAGAATGTCAAGTTCCTTCGGAGGTGGAAGAGGAATATTTTCTATAAATATTCCTACCTCTATAATTCATATTTCTACCTTAAAAATTCCTAAAAATTCCTCAGTAGATACAGCGATTTTACGGCAATAGCATTTAGTAAACATATATATTTTTTGTTTCATAAATGAAGAAAATGCAACCAGCAAGCTGAAAAACATGACATGTAACTATAAACTAAGCTCTTGGTCATGAATTCTAGACTGAGAAGGTGCTAGTTCCGTTATGCCGATATTTTGTGCGTAAAAAGTTTGAACATATTATGAGGCATTCAGTCAACCAAAATTAGTATTTCTTAATTTCCAAGGAAGTTCAGAAGTTACTTTCTCGCCAATGAAATGCCGGTAACATGAAAAGTTGTTGGCAAGTTAACCATAACTTTTCTGTTTTGTTTTATATTCTTGGCAAGGTTGAACTTCCTTTTCAGCTCAAGTCATAAATATATGTGAATATTTTTATTGCTTCATGATACCAACATCAGAAGCTTTTTCGCGATCATGTGAAATCCCTCCAATGACTTTAAGAGGAGTTTTTTAGCTATGTTACGCTGACACGCACTCAAATCTAATGACTGGTATAATTAATGCCACTTGACTTGGTTATATTGCATGCTACACAGCCAAAATATTCAGTTTATTTTTTGATACGTTTCTCAATCGCGGTAAACACATTTAAAAAGTATGTTTAGTGTATTATCTGTAAAACTTTAACAGGTACACCAGAATTTCTTTGGGTTTTCAACGCCTTTCATCCCAAATACTCATAGGAAAAACTTTTAACCATTCCTAACAATTTACGAAACACAACGACTCTTTGAAGGGTGTCTGTTACAGAAGTGCATGAAGTGGATAATATGCCCTTGAGTCAACGTTCCCACAATGATGTGTCCACGTCAACGTGCCCACAATGACGCTTCTTTCCGGTGTCATCAATTTCATTATTGGGTTAGAATTAATATATATTATCTATATACACTGGAAAAATAATATATTCATGCATGGTTTGTGATAATCACGTCTGGTATATCTTTGGGCTTGGAAAATCATTGGGCTTGGAAAAAGACTTTGCTATACATTGTTTTCTGTTTGAGAATGTCAGAGTCTGTTGATATTTTATGCTTGAATTCTAGAGCGCATGCGCTGATGCAAAGCACGAGACTATAAAGGCAGCTTCTATGAATATTTAGCACAACACCATACGAGAAAGTCAAGTGTTATTTCCTTCTCATAATATTAAAATCGATTTTAAATTTTGAAAAACAAATGTTTCGAACAGTATCTTCTTTATTCGACGGTGTTACGAGAAGTAAATTAAAATTAAACCGATCGAATAAAGAAGATATTGTTCGAATTCGACAAGTCTCCATTGAGAACATTGATGGCGTTTACTTGGACTTATATGGATATAGTTAAAAAAATGGATAGGAAATAGTATGAAGGCGCAAGCAGACGTGACCTATTTGAAATACATGATGTCACGAATACAACAACTATGAATATAGTAAAGTTTCACTGCATTTTCCTATATTTTTCGCATTTAAGTGGCTGTATATAGCTATCAAGATTTAAAATGATTTCATTATCCAGCATTCGAGGTAAATGTTGTTCGTCTTTATTTAGGGTTTTTATTTTCGTTATCAAGAAATTCAGGCAATTTGGCATCACAATACTGTTGCATAAATTATTGAAAATTTGTGATGCGTCAGTTCACCATATGTAATGCTTGATACGTTCCCTGAAAATTACCAGCACTATTTAGATATTTCATCGTAGAGTAGCGTGGTTGTATTCTTACATTTTTTACTAAAATGTTCTGCTGTATTATTGCTAGTCGTGGAATGATTTGGATCTAGTAAGGAGTGATCTCAAAATTTTCAACAATTAAGTTGAGACGCTGAAAGCATCGTGCGTGATAATGATCAGTTTCCTATCCAGTATTTTTATGATCCATGCTTACACCAAGGATAAAAATATCAATTTGTTTCAAAATCCATAGATACTGGTGACATACGTCTTTCTACAGCCTCTACAAGGTTCATTCGTTTCAGTTTTGTCCTAGGGGACAGCCGGACACGAATTGTCAGATTTCCTGCATGTAGACACTGGTATATAGCCCAGTGTTTGACGTATGACTACAGACAGAGAACAATTGATGCAATAATACTGAACAATTGATAGAATAATGACAGGACGGAGTATCACAACTACATGACGTTAAAAGAGTTTGGGTATGGTCATCCTTTCTGGATGAAAATTTTCATATCCACAAAGCCGTCAAAGGGACGATAATTTCTATTTTATTAAATCCATGTACCTATAAAGCGCCCATGAAAGAAAATGTATGGACATTAGAGTGTTTGCATTTTTTGTGTTTTCTTTAATATAATATGAGGACCTGCAAAGCGCTTTGACTAATTTCCAAATTTGGATCATATATACTGCCATAATGAATTCATATGACAAGATCTTATTCAGTATTGTATTCTGTCATTGTAGTCAAATCGTTCACCCTACAGCCCGCCATAATGGCTGCTCCGGTATAGAAGGTGAATTATAAGTTTTAGTCATTTGCTTCATTCCCGAAAAAATCCGGAGCCAACTTTTCTTCTCGAACTTCCTGCAGAAGGTGGGCCAAGATGCTTAATCGTTTTCTTCCTTGTCGGCATTCTAATCCGACCATATTAATATTTAAATTACTCAAGTGTGTGGAATTTTCGCCGCTGAACCAAGCCCAATTAAATGCAATGACGCAGCAACATTAAATCCGCATTGCATTATTTTATCGCATGCTAGGAATATAAATAGAGGCAGTGCCTTGCTGTGAAGTAGTTTCGTATTGTATTCTGCAGCAGTGAAGTTAAATCAACTTGATTAGAGTATCAAAATTAGTCATTGTACACCAGGTAACTATATTGCGTTCTTTATTTATTTTCTTGATTATCGTGCATGTAATGGATTAAATTTAACTATTGGTTATTTGCACATCGTTTCAATATAACAATGAGCTTTTAAAAATTCAAGGTTGTTCAATAGTTGATAATCGGCAGGAAGATATAATGCATGTATGCAAGGTATAAACATCAGCATATAATATAGGTGAATCAAGGTGATACTGTTTTTAGTCATGAATTACTATGCGGCTTTCTTGTCCTCTTTTCCTATTTCGTAACTTGCGCAACTTGGTCTACCAGCCCACTCGACAGTACTTGAACTATACGCACAGGCGTGGAAGAAGGGGAAGGGGCTGGGCTGTTTTTTGATCGGAAGTTTTTGGTCATGCAGTTTGTACTTAAAAGTCGGGAAGCTTATACTTAAAAATTGGGCAATTGTACTGAACTGGTGGAAATAGGAAGAAATATGCTACGTGTGTAAACGGTCTTAATGTATGTTTCGAAAATCCCCCTCCAGCCCCCGTCGACAACAACTTTGGGATATATACAAATATGTATAGGTTGGACAATTTCACAAACGTCGGGCAAATTTTCCCCTCCCATTACGCCGACTATTTTCTTATCTATTGTCGGTGATTATTGTGGTATTATAATCGTATTATAGAAAACTTTATTGTACAATTTTTGTGTCAAAAATGATTAGTAATAAAAGATAAGTTGTACTATAGCCAAAAATGTTTGTAATGTTATTATAAGTACTAAAGTGGTGGGTTCCGGACTGAGAAATTATAATATCGTGCATATGACAGTTTAACTTTTGTGCTTAGATTAGAATGTAATAGAATGTGATTGTATTGAACTGTAAGATCAAATGTAACTTATAGTTGCTAATTGCGTTTTTAAAAAGTTTGTAAAAAGAAACGTGTGTGTGCGTGCCGTGTGTGTGTCGAAACAGCCGTATGGGCAGTTTTATTCATTGAAGGCAGACAACGAAATATGCGACCATCTATTCGACCTACGTTCGTGTGTTTACTGTTTACTGTTTAATCAGTTAATCCTATTACCCCACTTAAAGTCATTTCACTCATTTCCAAATTAACATTGGACTGGACCATTTCCATGTACCATATATGCATATATATTCTATTTAATAGTGTGAATGGTAGTACATTTTTGGAATCTATTGTTTCTGACAAAACATAACGGTGCATATAACGGTTCGACGGATTTATTTTTCAAGAATTACGTTTGATATCTTTGTGATCTTTGCAGCTCGATCGTGTCTTAATTATGCTCGGTTCAATGCTATATTTAGCACGAAGGCGTAGCATGACCTCTGTTGTCCTTGACAATTGTTATTTTGGTGCAATTTACTAATTACTGAGTATATAACTACATTATAGTTGTTCAGTTTGTCTGATCGCAATTTGAGTTTTAATTGAACAAAAATCTTTTATTTTTTCACTATGAAAACGTCTAGCCCTAGGCCTAGGCCTAGGGCTAAAATTAATCATCTGCATGCTTGAACAGGTTTTAAGTACCTTTACAAACTCATCAGACCATATTCTTTTGTATTTCGTCGGTTTTCAACTCCCCCGTAATAACCTTCAGTCTAAAAGCAGGCGGTGGTATTTGATTTCTCCGGGGGGAATACGGGGTTGAAGGTTATTACGGAAAAATAATAACCGGGTAGCAGGTTATTACGGAAAAATAATAACCGGGTAGCAGGTTATTACGGAAAAATAATAACCTGCTAGTCTGCTACCAGGTTATTATTTTTCCGTAATAACCTGCTACCAGGTTATTATTTTTCCGTAATAACCTGCTACCCGGTTATTACGAAAAAATAATAACCAGTTACCTGGTTTTACATTTTCAATTCAAGACCTGGCATGAGTCTTGAATTCGGGACTTGAATTTGCAGGAAAACTCAAGACCCACATCTCCTTTTCGACTAGAAAAACGTTGCACGTCTCTAAAGTCGAGAAACAGACAACAGCCGTGTACCTCAGAGCCCGTCAAAACTCTACCATTGGTAAGAGTATCTATCATTCGGCGCACGAGGACTAGCTGGATCAACCATCAAACATGCTTGTGCAGGGAATTTATACAGTAATATCTGCTCTTTTGCTTGTGGGACGTGGAATGATATACTGCGCATGCTTAACCACATTTTAAAGCGTGTTAATGCGCATGTTACACCTAGTTATTTCGTCCCACAACTGCAGCGACCTCTCATTGAATTAATATAGCTTGAATTTTTAATGAAGAAAACCTCCAAAATTCAAAAGAATATGGTCTGATGAGTATATAAACAAGTTAAAAGCCGCGGGTATCGGTTTTTATTAAACTGTAAAGACTTCACAGTTTAATAAAAACCTCTCCCTTGGCTTTTAACCTATATGTAATGAGTGGCTGGGATAATTTCCTTCGAGCTTTCAAAAGTTGAATCCAATTGAAAACTCATCAACCAATCACAAATTACAATATATACAGACGTTGATGGATCAGTTGAAACTAATACCAAACTGCACTGGTGAAAAAGCGGAGAAGGAACATTAATATTTAATATTTTTCCTTGCAGCCCAACCAAGATGATTATTGGAAGCATTTTATTCGTTATTACCTTTATGAGTCTGGATTTGTCTTCAGGACAGTCAGGTACTGTTTAGATAAGAAGTATAGTATTATATATATAGGTCAATCAGGATTTTTAGAGTGGCGGAAAGGTGGAGGAAGGGTGATGTAAGTTGAAGCAAGGATGGAGGAAGGGTGGCGTGAAATGCTTGGGGTGATGTGAGCTGAGTTGTCTGAGGTTGAACAGGGTGGAAAGTATAGTGGAATCCGTATTAATTAGTATGCAACAACATTTTTACGATTAAACACCCTAGCATACTGAAACATCTTTACCCCAAGGCCAAGTCTGGGATTGCAGGATAGAGAAAAGCTAAAACGGTCGTTTTCAACATTTTCATGCATTTTTAATTTTTATGATAAACATTGGTAAGAAAAAAGAAAATTAGTTGCTGTAGTCGTAGGGTTGGTTAAAGAACATTTATAACTTGATGTTACAACTTTCAAGTTCATTTCACAGTGGCACATGCATGCACTTGGACAGACTTCTCAGTCAATCATTTCCAAGTTTATTTTCATATCGTTTAGACGCCAACCTTCCATCCTTATGTTGTATTACTGGTGACAACAGGAACTACAGAGTGAACACAACATTTATAACCGCTGATTGTAAATCTAAATGTGTGTGTACTCATGATGCATATCTTGCATGTATTCCACTTTGTCCTAAAGCAATCCTAAAGTGTCCTGTTGGTTTCATACAAAAAAATGTCAGCAAAGTTATCATGAATAATAACCGAATTTGTAACTGTCCAAAATACGAATGTGTACCAATACAAGGATCAGGTAGGTTGTTTACTAATCATGAACTACCATCTTGAGCACTATTCATGCCCTGTTAGCCAGCATTCGCACCCCTCTCCCTTGCCCCCCCCCCCCCATGCAATTCGACTGATATGTGACTAGTACCAAATACTGTCAGCATTGGTTGGGAGGGCGTATAATGGTGAGAAACCAACATCATACTTTTTTAGCTTGAAAATAGCACTGCTGCATGCATGATCTCAGCTAGTTTTGTGAATGATTCTAGCTACACACATGCTGAATGACTAAGACTGCACAGAATGAAGCATGTCGAATGCATGAGAAGATAGCCGGGAAGGTAAAGGGATAATATAGTGAATAGAATAGAGCATAATATCGCAGTTTTAAAACATAGAAGCAAATTTCCTTTAAACTAACAAAACACGAGTAAAAAAAGACATTGCTATCTTTCTGTTTAGTCATTCATACATATATAACTTGATTTAATTAATTTTTTCGTTTTTCGAATTAGCCACCGCTTCCAGCACGAGTTGTTCTAATGGGAGTAAGCTGTATCAACCAGGAGATGAGTTCGTCACAAATTGCAATAAAAGATGTCGTTGTCAAAATAATGGTCAAGTAAAATGCGTTTCTTTGTGTCCAAATGACAAATCTAGTTGTATGGTAGATCACACTGAAAAGAATGTGTTGGTACCAACACTGTACAACAAGTGTCAATGTACAGCAAAGGCTTGCAAACCAAAACCATATAACGGTAAGTTCATGATGATTTGTGAGATTTACAGCCATGAACAACCTTTGCAAAATTTAGTGAATCTTTTGTTCATTTTTTTCACTATTTTCTTTAATATAACACTTCACCTATAACGCTGTGATTTTTTAAATAGTCCGAAATTCCGTTCTCGAATTTTGTTATAGCTCCGGCAGTATAAACGAGACATTCGTAAGTCCTCGGGTTCGATTCCCCCGCGACATTTTTCTTCCTTCATTCTTCAATCCTATATAGTGTTTCCGGCCGTTACCAAAATAAACGTTATTCCGTGTCCCGTCAACTCTATATAGTGCATAGTGAAGGCTGAACAGTAGGAAGTTTTAGAGCGGTGTCAGTTTATAACAGGACTACAATTCTCCAACCGCACAGATTAAATTCTCCAGAATGTTCTGTGAAAGCAACTCTGCATGACAACGAATTATAGTAATAGTTATTCAAACACTCATTATTATTCATTTAGGCAAATTGTCCAATAATATGTGCCTATTTGTGCCCATGCATGTGAAGGCATTATATACAGTTTATACCTGGTAATATACGGCCGGATAAAATCCAGGAAAATTATTTCATTATTAATATTGCTTTTCATTTTGTACAGACAAATGTATTGTGAATGGTCATACCTACACGTCTGGTGACAATTTTGTGTCTTCTGATTGTTCAAACAAATGCACATGTCACCCTGGAGGAAAAGTATTCTGTGTCCCGCTCTGCTCACCTAAAGGAAATACTTGTAAACTAGACGAGCAAGCAGTTCAAGTGCAAGAAAAGGTCGTCAATACTACCTGCACATGTCCAGCTTTGAAATGTGTAAAAAACAACCAAACGATATCTGTTGTTGGCCACGTTAATACAAGCACACAAGGTAGATCGCATTTTATTTCATAAACAATGACTATATATATGACGGAGAGCTAATACTGCCGGGATTCTAAGATTGTCAGAATTTTAATGAAGGTAGTAAAATGGGGTTTGGAGAATAAGAGCAATTTCACGAAAATCAAAATGAATGTTTTTACTTTGCGAATTTTATTTTCTATCTTGAGTGTTTAATTTATTTCGTTTCAAATCTCTTTCACCATTGAAAGCTCAACATTGAAAGAATTTTAACTTTCAAAACAAATACTAGATATTTCTAGCGGTAAAAATCAAGAAAATTTAATGCGGCATGTAATGCAGCAAATTAGCGTTTTCCCGAAAAAATTACCGGCAATCACGCGGCTCATGGTTAGTCATATAAATCACATTTCAAGACACAAAATTCATGCAGTCATTTCACTTATTTTCACATTTCACTGTAAGAAATATTGGCAGTTCGACGGCTCACGAAAATACCCTACTACCCAACTAATGCTGGAGGGGGGGGGGGGGCAAGGATATTTTCGTGACTCGTGATCAGCAATTATTCGTGCTTCGTGATTCGTGATTTGAAGAAATACCATTCCGTGAATCGTGATTAATATGCGTGCCGTGATATTATCAATATTTTACCCTAACTTGTGAATGTTTACGCTCCAAATTTAATATTAGGGTTAAAAAAATGAATAAATTTGCCGCTTCCCGCGGTTGTCTTTCTTGAGGTTTCCGCTTCGTTTCATCGTAAACTCCGTCGTTATCGTATACCTTCATCCCCCCCCCCCCCCCTTAGACTTCGTGAACCATCGTAAGACGCTCGTAATGTTTCGTAATGCCTCGCAATGATTTCCATAGTCCTTTAAAAGCTCAAATGTAAAAGTCAGTAAAATGTGTATGTGTTAACATCGATTTCTGCTGTCTAGAAAATTGTTAAATGGTTTCAGACTTTGTTACGCGCGCTTCTGTGTTTCTAAAAATCGTGAAAACGAAATTTTGTTTTTCGTGACTCGTGAAATCTAAAAATGGTCTTCGTGATTTCGTGACGGGACCCCCTCCCCCCTTGCCCATGCGGCGTTGTTTCGGCCCACTTTAGTCTAACTCTTAACATTTAAAATCTTCAGCTGGTAATAATGGCCCTCTATGATTTAATCAAATTCAAGAAGACACAGTGAAGACTGATGATTCTATAGAAATCTTATAATTCCAGGTTTTGAATGGTTTACATTTTTTATTTTTCTAGTATCAACAAAACCAGTTCTTCCCAAGCACTCATGTACAACACCAAGTGGAAAGATTTTTAATATTGGCGCGGTTTTCTCTGACAACAACTGTACTTCTCAATGCTTTTGTCAAAATGGCGGCGTAATTTCATGTCATGCTTTGTGTTTCCCTAGTGTGCCTGATAGTTCGTGCACGAATCACAAAACTGTACAAATGCCAACTGGTTTACCTGATGCCCAAGGAAAAAGCTGTTCTTGTCCCTTTGTCACGTGTGTCTGAGCAGTTAGTTATTTAATTAGTTAATACGGCTACTGAGTACTGATGGTACTGTAGCATGATAACGCTGTTAGCGTTTATCTTAAAAACGTTTGCTTGACTTTTTAGACTAAATTAGTTAGAGCCGTTCATTTTTTATCACAAAGAGTTGGCTGTTGTTTTCGTATCGGGTCATTAAAGCACTGATTATAAAGTCTTCATTAACAGCATCATTAGAGATTTCTATTCAATGCAGCCTAGTGAACGTACTTACTTACATGGCTACGAAGTACAATGGACTACATTGGTTAACTAATAATGCCGGAAGTTCACGTGGAAGAAGAACGAAAACCGCCATAATGATTCCTGACAAAAATGAACGGTCTCTTAGACAACTATTGACAATCATCAAACTAGTCATAAATTAATTCATAAATATATGATAGCCTATTTTATAAATAAAATGTTACTTAAAAATTGAAGAGATTTGCAATATTGTGTCAACCCCTTCATAACTTAGTGATCAATAATATTCCCTATAGATCTGTAACGTTTTTTGTACATCTTAATTGTCAGTTGTTAAGCGGTGTTATTTTCCCAGCCGTTGTATTTTCTACTCTTTATTTTAACATCAACATATACTGAAGCTTCTCAAACTCATTAATAATTCACGAAGGAAATTCAAAAGAAATGCATATTAATTCTGTATTTAGAAATAAGAGGAAGAATAAAAGTATTGATTCGTTTGAAAAGCTATATCCAACACTTGCAAATGTTTTTCCTCTGATTTCTAAATACAGACAAGCTGGTTAAAAAAACTTTGCTTCGCCTCGTATTTCGTCTGCCTGTCTGTATTTAGAAATCAGAGGAAGATTAGAATAGAGGGGGGTGTGGGGGTGTAACACCCCCCCCCCATTCATCATAGATTCGACAAATGTCTGCTAGACTCAGCAAATGTCTGCTAGAATCGGCAAATTGTTTTCGGATTTATCGGAAAATTGTTTTCGTGGTGAGCGAAAATATTTGAGTAGCTCGGAATTAAAAATTATGATATGTCCGGAAAAAATTTTGTATGTCCGGAAAAAATTTTGCGACCTCCTCCCCCTCTCCCTCTCTCGCCAACAATTTTGGGAAAAGATATTAATTAGCGGTTGTAGTGACTCGGCAAAATTTGCCTTGATAACTCGGCAAAATTAACTAACACCTTCCGATTCAAAGAGGTCTAGCGACGCCCTCGGTTAAAGTGTTTTACTTCAATCCCCATGCACCATTACGGGGATAATTTAGTCGACCTTTTTACTAAATATTTTTTATTTATTTATTATGCTTTGCCAATTTCACACCGAATCATATCTGCACAAATACAAACACAAGAATATACAAACTATAAATCAATGGCAGAGTATATGCTACAGCTTTACGCCAATTACAGCAGCCCTTAAATCAAGCTTGTATTTCTACTGATTAAACTCGCATGAAGCAGAAATTCCAATTTTAATTAAGGGACCGGTTATAAAGTAATTACTAGAGGGGGTGGAGGATAAATTAAATTTCAAGTACAATTTCCATACCCTCCCAAAATCCTATGGAAAAATTTTCGTAACCTAATTCAATTTAAGTGAAAATTTCCATATCCCCCCTTTTATATCATTAATTCTGTTTTAACATTTGTCTTGCGTTTTGATCTAGCTATATTTTGAAACTCTCAAGTTTGTGATAACTCTCCCACTTCTTGTTGAGTGGTAACCATATCCTCAACATTTTCCGCAGTCTCCGATTCGTCATCAGTCTTTTCTGATTCTGACTACTACTACGGTTTATTTCAAACAGAAAAAAATTGCTTCCATTCAATGTGACACTTCCTCATCGGGTTCTAATGGTGCGAGCCTGCTAGCACTGACAATTCAGATGTATTAGATTTGTACTCCAAAAGTTCCACGGATACTGAATCCTGTACTTATCATCTGACATTGAGTAAGACTGAAACATATATACTTTGTGTTGATTTAATAATATAGCAAAACAATTCTTTCCAAACTTAAATCTGGGCACAAATACATTCAATATTCAACAATAATTATAAAATGTAATTTTTTTCGTACCTATAGTACTAAGATTTGGTACCCCCTAGAGGTTCTGTTGCTTTTTTCGTACCTCCCTCAGAGGTTCTGGGTTTTTTTCGTACCTCCCAAAAAATATCCTCCACACCCCCTAGTAAATACTTTATGACCGGTCCCTAACACCCAATGTTGTACTAACATGGTCATGCGGGCAATTGTTATTGAAGAAAAGTTAGTCTATAGTTTAATTGTTATCCACAGTTATAAACGTCGCTAAGTCTTGCGGATATATGGGATAGGCAATAGCGTGGACTTATGTAAAGTATTTACACATTTAATTAATTTATCTATATTAACCTTGGTCAGTTTCCTATTAAAGCATGGAAATTTGCAAATTTGTCAAAAAAGATGTGTCTCGCATTAGTTTACCATGACTGTTTGTACAAAATTAGGGAAAGGCTGTGTTTATTCATTGGTTTACGGATCCGCCGACCGTAAATATTCGGAAAGTGAAAAATAAAAAAAATTTTGGATGTCTGACAATTCTACGATTTTAGTTGATTTGGGGTTCTGAAATAAAGTACACGCCAACGCCTCGCCAACGCCTCGCCAACGCCAAGTAAACTTTGACTCTAAGTACTGCTGGCTCATGTTATTGTTGTGACAATCGATATGGATATTTCAGGGCATTTTTTAACTATATAACTGGGGGGGCCAAGGCCCCCCCAGCCCCCATGGTGGCCCCCCCACTTAACCATTTTGGCCCCCCCAGTCAAAGTCCCTTTTCTCTAAAATATAAGCAAAACATGGAATTTAGAAGGGAGGTTTGATATTCTAGTAACTGGAATTTGCTTTGTGAATCTTATGTCCTGTTTTTTGTGTTTAATAAATACCTTATTAGATTTTAAACATTTCCCAGGCAGTGGATTGCATTTCCGAGACCTTATAGAGCTTGAGTTGTTGGACAAGTTAGTGACCGCAGGGGGCAACAGACCCTCAACCAAGTGTTTTACAAGGGGGGGGGATAATTTGACCCCCACCAAAATAAAAACAATTTTATTTCGAAAGTAGAAGTATTTGAAATCATATATACATATAATCAAATATCTGTAATCGATATTTTGATAACATTTCTCGTAATAATCCATCCTGACTCGCGGATATCATAGACTCACAAATCATAATGAACGAATTAATGAAAGGGCCAAACAAAAGACGTATAGAAGACTTTGAAAATGCCATTTCCGATGATTTAGAGACGCTTTTCAAAATTTTTCCGCTCTGTGCCAACCATGGTGGCGCTTTGTGGAAGTCGGGAACTCTAAGTTTATCAAGCTGGCTTCCTAAGTGACGGCCAAGTTGTGGTATCTACATAAACATACTATGCAAGTACTTAACTGAAGGTTCAGTTTATCTACAGCATAATGTAATGCTGTATATCCAAAAATCTGTTTCAGAAAATGCAGGGAATTGCAGTCATAGGGGTAGAAAAATACAAAAATTTTCTGGGGGAGAAAACCCCAGACCCTCTCCAGGGCCGTAGCAACTGCGGGGGGGGGGGGCTGGGGGGCTGCAGCCCCCCAATAATTTGCTAATAATCATTCATTTTTCAAAATCATGCAGACCTTTATTATTTAATCCATGACAAACTGCAAAGAATGAAGATATTACCCATACTTTCCTGCAACTTATCCAATATATCGTTAATTAAATACACCTTCGTCCAATTGGAACCGTGAATTCCGTGAATTCTAAATTTCCACATACTAAAAACGCTGTTTTCTGACAATCAGAAATCTGTCAAATCTTCCCCAAAGTCCAGGAAATGGCATTTCAGAGACTCTAAATTTAAAAATTTCCTCGGGCTTTCGGCCCTTGCTTTCAGCCGCCCCCCCCCCCTCCAAAACGAAAAGAGCTTCCTACGGCCCTGCTCTCCCCCCTACTATTAAATGCGATACCACACCAAACTTTTTGTTACCAACAAAGTAACAAACCATCTATCATTGCTCCACACTCGGTATAGTATGGTCCCTTTTTGTAGATGGCCCCCCCACTGACGAATTCTTAAAAAATGCCCTGCTTCAGCTATTGGTGGCTTAAAGGGTTTTAGACCATATGCATTATAACGACGGAAACAGCCATTCAGGTGTATCGACTTTGATCTAACCTCATTTTTGCTGCTCGGTCTGGAAGTTAGTAACCAGAGTCACTAAGTGGTCGAACTACCGCGTACCAGAGTTACGTCTGGATATTTTGCATTTCTATGTGAACTCGTTCTCATAGGCGTGCGGGAGGAAAAAAACGGGACGGGGGCGGCGTAGGAACACATCTTCTTTACAGGAGCGAAATACAAAGTTATTCTTGAAACGATGAATAAAAAAGTATAGCACCATTAAAATTAACTTATAACTGTAATTCAGTAATTGTGTTGATTAAACTTATGGAAATGAAAATGGCTTATTAGACAGGCAAGAACCCCTGGGGTATCGCAATTGGATACCAAGGTTTCGACATCTGGTATCCAAAATTGGAAACTGGAGTATCGTCAGGATACTGCTAATCTCGAACCATGCCATCATGTGTTACACCAAGAGAAACATAAGTATCACACAACTAAACAAGTGGACAAAGGCCCAGATTTATTACATATCATTTATCAAATTATATAATTGGTAAGATATTTATTAAACTTTAAACATAATTCAGTCAAATTTTCAATTTTATGATATCAACATAATTAGTTCACTGATTGAACCAGCATATTCAGCAGAACATATATAAAATGTTCATCCCTGCAAACAGGGGCGAAACTAACCCTTTTAATTCGAGGGGTGTCTGCCAGAATTGCCCTGCCAAAACCGATGATGCCCTGCAGCAAATGTTTATTTCTGGCCACCATTTTTCCCAAAAATGTTGGCGAGCGGTGGGGAGGGTTGAAAAAAATTTTTCTGGACATTAAATAAAAGGGTCGAAAAATTTTTCCGGACATAAACCAATTAAATTAAGGGCCAAAAAAAATTTTCCGTACAAATTCCTGTTAAAGCATGGGTGAAACCCTTATTCAGTCAACCCAATATCTGTAAAATCAGTTAGGTCTATAAATTCTATCCAATTCCCTCTGAAAGCCCTGTAAGTTACTTAAGAACTCTACATTCAATCATTTAAAATCTTTGATTGCCCTGCCAATCCAGACGATTTGTATTTTTTTTTTGGGGGGGGCGGGTGTTGACACCCCCCATACCCCTCAAGTTTCGCCCCTGCCTGCAAATATCTGTGCAAAAATAACAATCGATACACTTAAACTTAAAACATTAACAATCTCGCTTCGTATACCATGCAGTAACAAGATACGCACCAATCTGGCTAGTTAATTGGAGGATTGTAGTACTGCCGTTGAAGAAGCAATTCGATAGAACTGTCATGACCGTGGGTCAAGCATTTCAGTGCGGTGTTCCGTGTTCCAACTACATAACCGAGTTACTGTTACCTAGCTGTTCTCGAGTGCCAAGAAAAATACCTCTCCCACTACTAGCTACAGTCATACTTCCAGAATAAATGAAGATGGATGAGCAATGGTCTACAAGACCTCGCTCCGTGACTAGTTGGATGTGTGCAAGGCTTACACTGTACCAGATAACTTTCCGTAGCGGCATGAAAAATCACCTATCCGATACGGAATGTACATCTTTCAGAAGCTGAGCGAAACAACGTTTCCTGCGGCGAAAAATAGCGTTCCTAAAAGATACGGATAGGTGTTTTTCACGTCGCTATGGAAGCTATCCGGTACAAGTGTAAACGTAGCCTAAATGTGCAAAAAGCCAAAGGTCGTAGTGGGAAAACGCGGCTACGATCGAGAAGGGAAGGAGGTTGGTACTGGTAGGGTCAGGATCGAGCCCTAGACAGATATTTATAGCTTTTATTTTTATCTGTACATATAACTCCTAGATTACTACTTAGATTTAACTAACTGTAAATCCATTATATTTTTACATGGATAAATAAGCTATCATTAGTATTTGTTAATATACGGGGGTGCGATACAGTTGATCGGTCCGGTCGAATCAATACGGCGACGACGTTCAGTTTACGGAGGGTAGCATACGCTGGTGTGTACGAATTAGGACGTGAGGGACGTTATTAGTATATAAAATGATGCTGGTAGTGTTGCCCACTTGCCCAGACAAACCCAGAGAATGCAAAAATTGAGAAAGTTGTGACTGGGGACTCCGATCCCCAGGAGAAACGTCTACAAACAGGTGGTGCGGGAATCATGCTCCAAGGGTGAGGTGAGAGGGAACAATGTTTTCACGAGTAAAGACAAGATTTCCTAGTACCAGTACCAGATATATGATTAACCATATGGCAGAAGCGGCATATGCCGCGGCCCCACGCTTTTGGAGGTCCCACGCCTACTCTCTTCCGATTTCATTTTCCGACGTTTTTGTTCCCTGTTTTAGCGCTGGGCCCAAACAGCGCGGGACCCAAACAGTGCGAGGCCCCAAAATTTAAAAAGTGAAGCCCCAAAAAGTGGGAGCCCAAATGTTTTTTTCCCTGTTTCAGCGCGGGGCCCCTGCAAAGGGCCCAAGGACTCCAGAAAACGTCAAGACCAATTTAAAAATCGAGACCCGGCCAAAGAGCGGGACCCAAACGGTTGTTTTGTGCCCTGTTTTAGCGCGGGATGTTTTGATCCCGCGCTAAAACAGGGCACAAAACAACCGTTTGGGTCCCGCTCTTTGGCCGGGTCTCGATTTTCGGGGCCCCAATGAGTCCGAGCCCCCAAAAGGGAAGCCCCAAAATAAAAAAGAGGTCAGAAAACGCGAGGCCCCAAAGTTTAAAAAGCGGGGCTCCAAAAGCAGGACCGCAAACGAATTTTTTTGTTTGTTTTTTGGGCAAGGTACTCCAAAAATTATAGGGGTCAGAAAATTTCAAAATTTGGGGTTAAACTGGTAAATGCGTGCGCCAACGAAATCGCCGTTATGACGAGCCAGGATCAGCGCCTGAATTGCCACAGACTCCAGTCGACACGTTCTATACGGGTACGTTCCTGGTCATAGTCGATAACCTTGATGCTGAGTTACGGAAACGACTGGGCGCTAGCCTTCGTGGCAGGCCCTCAGTTTTATGGGAGGCCTGATTTGCAACGGATACACTGGCATTGCTCAACCTCGTCCCCAGGGCCATTTACAGAGTGGCATTGCTGAAAGGTTTCGTAAATGACATATTTGTGCTTGAAATTTAACTAGATAAAAATTCGAGAATTGTGCCATTTATAATTCTTAGAATCCTTAAAGCTTTGAATTCCCTAAAAACTTCTACGTTTAAAACAGATTTGTACAGACATTTAGCTTCATTTCAACTCGATTTATACGCCACGAAGAATAACATAGACTCCATGGACTCAGGTTAGTTTGAACTAGCCTCTGGATTATGGTTCAAACTAACCCTGCTGAAACCCTAGACACTTACTTTTTACATCTCAAAAACCTCACATTGGTTGTGATAAAGTTAACTTATATCGAACCTGGGTTTATTTTTCGTAGCGTAAATTGAGCTTTCACTGATATGTATTCACTGAATACCACATTACCACTAGAATCACTAGACACAAAGTTAGGTCAAAGGTCCGTAAAACATTCAGCGTTAATTTAATAATAGCTCTCATAACAAAACAGGAAGCCATGGTCCATGATCATGTTGTCAGTATTTGCATAATAAAAGAGAAAGCAGATTTCGCAATATCATTTTCCCAGAATAGATTGCTTTTACAAGGAATACGACCTTGCCTTGTTCTTTCGCTACGTACAATTAAAGTTGTGTTGCCGTCATTTTATATCAAACTTAAAATCGTTCTCAGTGCTTTTTATAAAACACGACAAAATGAGCTGTGCAGATTTATTAGCGAAATTCGATGAATTGGTGAGACGATTTAGGAACGAATTCAACGATATAATTGAAGGGGAGCGAGCCAAAATGAAGGCGGAACTCGACGCTTACAACGCAGAGAAACAAAGAATGAAAGCCGTCGTAGTCACTGACAACGATATCATACACCTCAACGTTAGTGGTCACAAATTAACGACCAAACGATCTACTCTTTGTCAAGTAGAAAATTCGCTGCTTGCCTCAATGTTCAGTGGACGTTGGGAAGACAGTCTCGAGCGCGATCAAGATGGCGCCGTATTTTTCGATTTCAATCCCCAGTATTTTGTTATTATTTTGGATTATTTGCGCGCGAAGAAAATTGCCACAACAGAGAATCCCGCGCCATTGCCGAATGTTCCCGAAGATGACGCAAACAATTTTAATAATCTTCTGGAATACCTTGGTTTAAGCGATGAAATCGTCCCCGCTGAAATAGTGCCTAGCGAGAAATTCAATCGACATAGCTCTGGAGTTACTCTTGAGGAAGGAGGAAAAATTGCAGTTAATGGTCCAAATGGAGGACATAGCTATGTTCTGGGTGGAAATATTTACCAACAACGCATTGTGCGTCTTAAGATGAAGTTGGAGTC